TTATAAGCTAAAATCCGTAAAATTGTTTTTATATATAGCTTGCTTTTTAGTTTTATACTTTTTTTTCTTATATATATATATATATATATTTATATATAAAAAAAAAAAAAAAAAAAAAAAAAAAAAAAAGAAACCATAAAAATTTAATTCTGAAATTCGAACACTAACTAAGCGGAACTTATTTTTTTAATTTTTTTTTTGGTAAAAATTACAATAAATTGTGTTTGAACTTCGTTAACTGATGTTGAGAAATTTTTGCATGATCAATTTTAATAGACACGTACTAAAGCAGTCCGTTCACCAGCAAGACAATCGTCGTCCATCCTATCGATGTTGATATACAAGTGAGAATAAAAAGGAATACTGAATTTCATAAGTTCTTGAGAACTTGTCAATATTAGCAATCTTGAGATTGAATTTCAAATTAATATATTTGTTAAAGATTATGCCCAAGTTGTTAAGAATAAGTAAGAAAATTATAGCAATCATTAGTTGAACATTTCTTCAAAGTATTCTCTTCTCGTTTTGGCTATGCCTTGAGAGTGTTGGTGAAATTATTATTATTCTGTTTGCTTAATGTTGTCCCTGTGTCTAAAGTTATTTATAATTTATAATTGTAAGCCATTTTCAAAATTAATTTTGATGAATCGATGCAAAATCCTTTAAATAACACAGGCCACTGCGAACTGATGGCTAATACAAAAGAACAGAATCTAAGGTCGATTAAGAAAATGTATAATTTTACGTTTATCGAACGCGTCGTAAAGGAAGGCTAATCTCCTTTAGTGTATTAAATGTTTTATTCTATTGCGTTACTGGCAGTTTGTTCATCCAATCAAGTTACTTTAATTAATAACTCGTATGCACGGGAAAACTTGATATCCGTTTTCGGTCGCTTTCCACATCTACACTTTTTATGGATGGGATATCGAATGAATACCCACCCGGCGGCGCTTATCTATTAAAACGCCAGTTAAATGCAATTCAATGAAGGTAAACGAAGATAAAACAAATCTATAGAATTTCCATTGTAGAACGATTAGAATAAGTAATCAAATGTATCGAAGAAGCAATAGCTTTGCAATAGAGTTTCTTTTTCTTTTTTTTCTTTTTTTTTTTTTGGTGTTTCTATGGTTCAGTATAAAATAAACATATTATATTAAAAACAAAAAGCACTAAACACAAATAATGAATAGCAACAACAAGAACAAATCTTAGGATTCCCACAAAATGTTCGAGTCCAAAACACATTTTAAAACATTGCTAGTATAATGTATTTCTTATGCAGAACCCCCCTTTCTACATCGAAACAGGCTGAACGCTTTGATAATTTCATACGATTTGATAACTTCAAGTTTCGAAACAAAATTCAATGACATTTTCGTGTAAACTTCTCAACTTCGAAATCCGATTTAATTCAATATCGAGAACAGTATGTGTTTAAGCTTAAATTAAGGTTGGGCGTCATCAACTATTTAGTGGGAAATCGTGAATTGATAGACGCTGGTCCAGCAAATTGTCGCCTAAGACAGAATCTCATTTTACGAGTTTCTGTTTCTTCTTTGCGGTCCACTGAAAAAGTTTGAAAAATGCCCCTAGGAACATTAAGTAAAAATTCCGTTAAAATTTAAAAAAATAAAAGCACTAAATATAATGAAATTATTAAAGAAAAAAAATACGTTTACTGTGGAAATTTTTAATGGACAAAGCAAGTTTAAGTCAAGTGAATGGGAAAAAAGTTGCTTTACTATATCTAAGCGCAATATTTGTTATGTTTTAGGCAATTAATTGTCAACTATTTCACAAGGTTTTCATTCGCATATAGAGAAGAAAATTTATTCGCGTAAGAAAAGTGATTTACGGAAAAACTTGTGGGTGTAGAAAAAGTTTGAATAAACATTACTGGAAGGGAAATGGTCGCGTTTTCCATTAATTAAGTGTAAAACAACACCAATTTTGCAAAGAGTGCCTTTGAAACTGCATTTACGGTTACTTACTAATATAATTACATATTTTCATATCATCTCATTTTTTTCGAGGTAGTTTCTATTTTATAAAATGTGTTTATAGATGCATTTTGGACTCCGTTTATCAAAATTTCATCGATTAAAAGTATAAAAAAGTTTCTAAAATGGAACTTTCCACAATCGTTCCCTTTATGCTACAGAGAATACATACATATAAAGTACACAAACTTGTATATCTGTTCAGTAGTATGTGTAAGAGTAAATTTTTTACAGATATATCAAAATATTTGTTTAAAAATTAATGAAAGCTAACACATAATAACGTTCGTAAAACTATTAATTATAAGTATAATGATAATGATAATAATAATAATAATTATAAAAAAAAAAATAAAAAAAAAAAAATAAAAAAACGAAAACTAAAGAAAACATTATTTAAATATTTAAAAGAAAGTATTACATCCGAACACAATGTATGTAATTGAGATAAACACTCCTTGTTTACAATAATATTATATGTATACGTATGTCAAGACATTGAATATTTGAAATTTTCAAATTATTCATAATATTGAAACAAATGTTAATATATTCATAAAATGATTCACAATTAATTTAATTCGATTAACGTTGAAACTAAAAATTATACATTATATGATAAGAGAACAATTAAAGTGCTGCAAACACAATTTTTCATTGCATTTTTTCTTGCACGGGAAAAAAAAAACTTAATATTTAATAGAAACCCATTTTCAATTATGTTCATAATGAAAAATTTGATTTTTGATGCTATTATTGTTATATATAAATATTATTGCGTGTATTTGTGTATGTGTTTTTGTGTGTTTGTGTGTGAATATTAAAAGTGTGTACGCTTATTTTCAATTTAATTACAATAAGGTATTTTTTATATTGCAATACATAATAAATATTATAAACTTTTGTGGATTATTTATTAAAGTGGTGTTATCGAGTTGGTTGTTGCATATTTAGTTAACATAAGGTACTGCTAATGTCTAATTGTATATTTTCATATGGGCTGCACTGAAATGAACCAATATTTCAACTTTTGTTTTTCGTTTTTTTTTTTTTTTTTTTCCTTTTTTTCTTTTTCTAGGAGTGAACATGTGCAGCCAAGACCAGAGGGCACTTATTACCCAAATGTTTTATATCATATCTAAACCTAGATGATTTTACCACTTTTTGGCGCAAGACAAAATATATTATTAATTAATAATCAAATAAAAAAAAAAAAATAAAAAAAAACTGAAGGTCTATTCGTTTTTGTACACTCCTTATATATACATCGCTATAACTTGTAATGACGTACAATGTACATTATGTATGCGTACAATAATAATCATCATAGCAATAAAAATAATAATAATAATAATTAATGACAATAGCTGTAGTAATAAAACTCTTAATAATATTGATATTAATAACGTTAACGTATTTACATTACATTGATGATAATAATAATAAGCACTATTAATAATATCAATATTAATAATATTAATAGCGGGGAGGAGAAAAAAAAAATTAAAAAACATTATTAATAATAATGGTAGTGAAAATAAGAAAAATATTAATTGTGATAAATATATTAATAAGAATAACATAACTAATTATGTAATGCATATAAACAGTTCGCTTGCGTATTGTATTTTCGTAATTTTGGGTTCTAGTACAAAAGTAGAAATAATTAATTAAGAGTGAAAAAGGAAGTAAGAGGTAAATCTTTAAAAGTATTTGATAAAAAATAATTTTAGATATACTCTCGTGAAGTAATTTTTGTTTTATTCATTTAAAGTTTAGTTTGGTTGGATCTGTGCTTTGTTTTTATATATATTTTTTTTTTTTTTTTTATTTTTTTTTTTTTAAAATTTTTAAATTTAATATATTTCATCTACGCGACGAAGGGAGAAACAGAAATGTTTTTCTCAAAATGGGGAGACCTGTCTTATATTTATTCTTTAATGCACAACGAATTGCGTGAATTTCTTGTTTTCGTGTTTCGTGTTACGAAGTAAATAAAAATTTTAGTATCGTAATGATATTGATAATTATAATAATAAAAATAATTTATAGCAATAATTATATAAACAAGCAATACATATAAATTGCATACACAATCTAGGACAAGCCTACAAAATTCTAAATGTATGTATGTATTCGTACACAGACAATTGTGTATGAAGAACAAAAATTGTAATATCAATAAATTAAGATTAATATCATTATCAAAACTGTACGTGTAGCTTACTATTAAGCGATTGCTAGCAAGTTTTTTGTTTGTGTTCGTGTCCGTATTAGAGTGCGTAGGTAAGATCACATTTAACAAAATAAATTATATTATAACAATAACCATGAATTGCATAAATTTTTTTTTTTTGTTTAACTTAATAGCTAAACATGCTATCAACACATGCGTGTACGCTTAACGCCACTAGAAGAGCGTTTTCGCATCAAATATACGTTATTTATATTACAAAAGTTAGTGGTTTGGCCTGATACGGTCAACGGCGGCGATTGCGAAAGCGCCGAATGTGATGCAGAGGGTGTTGATAATTGCTGCAGCAAACTGGACGATGACGCTATAGACATTCGACTTATTATGCTTTCTTGTAAATTAATTAAGCTCTGGCCATTGAAATCGTACGTAGTTGTAGTATTCGCTGTTGTTGTTGTTGTTGTTGTTTTTGTTGTTGTGCTATTAGTTGTAGTATTAGTTATTTCTGCATTATTGTTGCTATTATTAATATTATTATTTATAGCATGTGCTTGTTGAAAAGTTTGGAAATTGTAAATGGTTCGTTGCATCATTAGAAACCACCACTGGGTGAGTTGCAACTGTTGCTGTTGTTGTTGTTGCTGCTGCTGCTGTTGCTGCTGCTGCTGGTGCTGCTGCTGCTGCTGCTGGTTTTCATGTTCGGTACCGCAAAAATTTTCTACACGTTTAGTCTTGCGTTTGTTTTGCTTTTTATGATATTCTACAGTACTGTTACCTTTACAATTGCAATCACTCTTCTGTTGCTCACAGTCATGCAAATACGATCTATGAACAAAAAAGGTAAAGAGATTTTAAAATATTTTTTTTTTACACACATTGTACTCGTATTAAGAGGCTGTCTTCTTATCATTAATTTATATAATTTTTGTATGCTTAGCATTTTCGACTCACTCGTTTGTTTTAAATCAGTGTTTATTCGCCCCCATACCATATGTTCGCCGGTGCGTAATGTGCATGTTTGCTGGCGGCTACTTGAGCCGGACTTAACGGACCAAATTGGCTGTATTGCGTAGGGAACTGTATGTGTGCGGGCAGCGGATGCGATGGTATAACCTAAGAAATGAAATCAAATCAAATTCAATAACTAATGATTATGATGTGCTAAGTGAGACTAACTTGACGACTTGAACTGTTATGCGCTGGTGGAGGTGCTACAACCGCTCGATTGTAGGCATACGTTGGAGCTGCTTGAGAAACAAAAACCGTGGGTCGACGATAAATTTCACCCTGAGCTGCCGCAGCGGCATATATATCTTGTTGCAACATGGCTGCCGCGGCGGCGGCCGAGGTTGGTGAATTTCCAATTGGCGTAGTATTAGTTTGATGCTGAGACGGTGGTTGGTGAGTAGACTGTTGTTGGGATTGTGAACTTTGCGATGGTTGACGATAGACTTGAGGGGCACCCCATGATGGTGGCCCAACAGTAGCGGCAGCTGCTGCCGCAGCCGCCATGGTTGATGATGACGATGCCTTGGAATGAGCCATTGGTGGCGCAACAACTGCAGAGCCAGAAGAAATTGGTTGCTGAACATATGCGCCCGTTGAAGATGGAGCTACGGAAGGCGCTTCTCGCTTATGATGGGCCAGAGGTACTGGCTGATGTTGCGATCCCGAACTAGCAGCAGCCCAGGATGAGCGCTTGTTATCAATTGTTTGCTGGTGTTGTTGTTGCTGTTGCTGTTGTTGTTGTTGTATAGGATATTCGTAAAACTCTGTAGGCTCTTGTTTAGTAGGTAAATGCGGTAAATTAGCCGAAGGATGGGCTTGTGTGCTTGCATTACTACTGCTACCCGAATGACTGGATGTGGGTGGCATATAGCACTCATTTTGTGCCATAGCCAAAATACGTTTCTTTTGCGACTGTCCCGGTTCATATTTAACGTTCGCCTGTGGATAATTAGGTACGTGCGATTTAGGACTGTTACTTGTTACCACATTCACATTGCTGTTAGTACCACTATTATTCGCATTGTTGGTATGACGTCGGCGCATGTCATCTTGATCGCTGTCACCTACGGTTACGCATGGTATTACTAACTGAACTTGCCTGTGTCGATGAGAATTGCTAAGCGATGATGAACTGGCATGGGATGAACTGGAGGGAATCGAAAAGGCCTGGTTTGAAGTGTGAGAATTTATGCCAAAAATATTTGAGGAAATTGAAAAGTTATTAGCGGACGAGGTTAAGGCAGAAGAAGATGCCGGATTTGAGGAAGAGGAGGAGCTGGTATTGGAGGAGGAAGAAGCAACAACATGATTATTGCCACTACCGCCACCATAACTGAGAACAGAAGAAGAAGAATGATTATGAGAATTGTGTTGGATGGAAGTGGAAGCTGAAGTGGAATTGGTGTTAATGGCGGATGTGTTGGAGGAAGTGTGAGGAATGCCGCCACTGGACGAAGGCAATGCATACTGGGGCTGTTGTTGTAGTTGCTGTTTTGAATGGTGGCTAGTCTCGAAACGAGACTGTTGTTGAAGAGATGGACGGGATCTTTCTTTTAAATTATCACTATGAATTGAATTTGGCAGATCAACGTTACTTCCAAAGCCAGTTCCATTTGCAGTTCCACTTCCGTCCGCCACAAACATATTGTGACTACTAATGACATTAGTGGTTGTAGTCTGTGATGATTTTGAAGATGAAGTGGTGGAGGTCGATGGAAAATGGGCGGTAGTGGTATTGCCACCACTATTACTATTGTTAACTGAATGATGATGGTTATGATGGCTATGGTGGTGGCTTGCATTGTTATTGTTGGAATTACTTGAATTATTTTTCTGAGCAGCGGCACTATTGTGGTGCTGATGGTGCTGTTGATGCTGCTGCTGCTGCTGCTGCTGCTGCTGCTGATTTTGTGCTTGAGCAGACAAGTTCGTCGTTGTTTGTTGTTGTAGTTGTTGTTGTTGGTATTGTTGAGTTTTATGATTATTTGGATTAAGATTACATGTTATTGCTAACGGAAAATATAAAGAAAAAATTGAATAGAAATATCGTCGTTGATTGTGGCACTGGTTTTTAACAGATAAGGTGGTCTATCAAAAATTTTTAAATAGCTGATAACATTAAAAATAGATAATGCTAGAGTCTATCGTAATTTGCGCGTACAGTTAAATGGGTATTATTTCGTAATTGCAAATGAATTTACCATAAGTGTGTGAAGCCGAAGCCTGTTGCGTCTGCTGTTGTTGATGATGCGAATGTGGTTGCGCCTGTTGCTGTGGCTGCTGAATTTGCTGTTGATGAGTCACTGGTTGACTGTGATGACCATGTGAGTGTTGATGGCCACTACTGCGACAGCTCAATGAGCTTGAAGAAGCCGAGTGCTGCAACATCGACGTAGTCGTTTGGGATTGAGCATGAGCCCGCTGCTTAACCGGAGCTGTAGCCGGTACTGGAGCATCATTGCCTTCATCCTCACTATCTGAAATGGTAATTACTGCTGTTGGAGATGGTGTATCGTGTATAGTAATCGTTTGCTGTTTAACGATGGCACCATGATGCTGTTGATGTCCATGTTGGGGTAATGCATGGTGAGACGACGATACATGATGTTGTCCGGAGGAGTGATGGTGATAACCATTTCCACCGCTACTTATCGCGCTACAATTATTTACAATGTGATGATTGCTGCCACTGCCGTTATAGGTAGCACTACTGTTAATAATATGTGGTTGACCAGAAGAGCTGGCTCCATTATGGTGATGGTGATGCTGACTTGCACCAGTGCTGATGTCTAAAGAATGCGTAAAAAATTAGTTTTTACCATACGCGAAAGATAAGAATAACTCACTACTTGAAGATGTTGAGGCGATTACTACGCCACCGCTACCGTTTTGACTATTGTAACCATTACCACTATTGTTGCTGCTGCCATAATTGCAATTGTGGTGGTTATGATATTGAGGTGAAACATGTGAGGCGCGATTATAACGTTGTTGATGGGGAGGGGAACTCTCCTTAACGCGCTTCTTCACCGGAGATAACTGCTGGTTTTCCTTCTTGTCATGACGTGGAACCCTATATGAATTACCTTTGCTACTGGTAACGTAAACGAATGCATATCATTACGACTTTATGAAAGAAAAACTAACGTCAAAAATACTTACACTAAATGATGCACTGGCGATTCCTTTTTGAGATCGTTACGCGGTATATTTAAGTGCTTTGGATATATTTCTTCCACATTTAAAAATGGGGCCGGATCTACAATTAGAGAATGAGCCGGCGCTTGTTGTGGCCATGATGGAACCAATGCCATTTGACGACCAGTTTGTGGCCATGCTACACCACTCGCTTGAACGCGATTTGTTAAAAGCATACGTTGGCCGGAAGTAGGTTCAACCATAGACACGGGTACGGGCACATTGACATATTGTTGCGGAGGAACCTGTACAGTGTTAGAGTGTAAGTTAAAAAAATGGAATCTAAATTATTAGAAAAATTCTACTTGTAATGGTGGCTGCATCGTAGCACTACCTACCACCACATGTTTAGTGGGACTTGGCATAGCCTGATAAGATGGTGGACATAGAATATTGGAAACTAATTGATGCTGAAAAGTATCAGTGCGCCCTTGCGCGTATTGGCGGCCTACATTGCGACCGCCATAAATCTGATAAAGACCCTCATAAGCCAATGGTCGCTCTCTTACTAGACGTTGAACTTGACTCGTTAATTGGTTGTTAATTGTAAAGGTCATATTCTCAGTAGTGCTAGGAACGAAGTTAGTCACCAGCGTAGATGTAGGTTGCACTCTGAAATGTAAAGTACTTAAAATGGTGTATTTTACATTTATAATTCAATTTCTTGACTTACGGATGGTAATCTCCTCGTCGACAGACTTCCATCATTTGGACGGAGGCCTTCACATTATTGCAATAGACATAGTCCACCAAATGAGTAAGACGTACGAATGAGTGATTTAAAGCTTCAGCTGGTGTCAATCGTCGCTCTTGATCAATAGTTAACATACGCTTTAATAAATCAATAAACTCTCGACGATCTGTCTTTTCGGCTAACAATTGCCCTCCTTCAAGATCGGTAGGCACATTTACTTGGCCGATATCGTCCAAGCAATTGAATATATATTTACGTGCTTCTTTGCTTTTAGTATTAGTTTCGGCCTCATGCTCTTCAATGGTTTTTAAACGCCAAAAAGGATACGTAGAATCCGTATCCCGATAAAAGAATTTTGATGTCTTCGACGCGCTATTTAGCATATGCTCCGTAGGTAAGCCTTGTGTTTGCGATATATATCTAAGACATTAAGTAAAGTAATGATGAAACTTACTGCACTTATTATGGAAAATACATTAAATATTAGAATTTACCTAATCTGGTCGAATTCTGATGAGCCTGGATACAAAGGCCAACCCAGAAAGAGTTCGGCCACTACACATCCCAAAGACCACATATCAATGGCTTCACAAAACGGAAGGCCCAGAATTATTTCAGGGGCACGATAATAACGCGATTGCAAATACGTATTGCACACCGTTTTACTGACATGAGATGCACTGCCAAAGTCTATTACTTTTACTCTGCAAGCAAGTAAGAAGTCAGTGATATTTTTTGATCTAAATAAACTTAGAATGTGAAAAAGATATCACATACCTATAGGGTTGCCTAACCGGATCGACTAGCATAATGTTTTCTGGCTTTAAATCAGCATGTATTAAACCCAATTGTTTAAGTTTCAATAAGGCTGTTAAAACCTAAAAAAAAAAAAAAAAAAAAAAAATTTTGTCCGAAGGTGGTGATATATATAAAAAGACTTAAATTCTTAAATTCATATGTTACCTGCTCCAAAATCGGCCTTATATACTTGAGGGGAAGTGGTGAAAATTTGTTTTGCTTGAGAAAGTCATACAGATTTTGTTCCAGCATTTCAAAGACCAGGCATGTATGATTTTTATGTTGAAAACATTCAAATGCACGCACAAAATTAAATTCGTCGGCATTCTCTTGGCTAAGACGCGACAGTATCGATACTTCAATCTGTCCCTGGCGTGCATACGAGGGATGATTTTTTAAAATTTTGATTGCAACAATTTCTGACGTGCCACGTTTCCAACACTTGACAACTTGTCCAAAAGTGCCACGTCCTAAGAACTCTAATACCTAATATATGGGATTGCGACGATGCGATTTTAAAAATTCAGTTAAATTATTAATTATTAAGCAAATTAAATGAATTAATTAAGCAGGATAGGATGTTAATTTTTAATTACCTCATATTCAGCTGAAAGAGAGTAGAGAACTTCATGTTGAACCAATTGATAGTCACCGTCAGCACCACTGCTAGAACGTTTGCTGGGGGGCTGCGTGTTAGCGTGCCCCCCGGATGTTGCAACTTTAGTATGCGCCGTTTTGATGCTGTTGCTGCTGCCGCCTACAGCCGTGGCTGCCAGTGTCGTGCTACTTATAACACCAACGCTGACTTCGTTATCAAACAAAATCTCGTTAGTGCTGCTATTGCTGCTGTTGCCACCGTTGCCACTACCAGCAACTAACGTTGAACCCGATGAATTATATGAATCAAGGCAACCGCAATCGCACTCTGCAAATTAAATTCAAATAAAAATGACATTAGCGTGAAACTTTGAAATACTATTGATCAATCAAACCTTTACGTCCGTTAACATTACATGAGTACGTTAACACATTTTGAAATAGCATTTTAATTATAAAAACTAACAAAAAAAATTAAATCCACGATTGCGTTTCGCAATTATTTATTAAATGAAATTCAATCAAATTCGCGAAATTTCTTCTTTCTTTCTTTTTTTTTTTTCCTTTATTTTGAATACAGAGGGGAACGCAGTAATTAATCGAAACTAGCTACGCGAAGGAAACTTTTCGAATAAACTGTACGATCAGATCAGCTGCAAATGCCTGCAAGAACAGCATCTAAAGCCAATGTATATAAATATATGTATTTATATGGACTGAATATATAGGAAAAAGGTGAACACGAATAAAATATGCGGACAATTGTGAATATTTTCTGTACAAAAAAAAAAAAAAAAAAAAAAAAAAAAAAAAATTTGTCATAAAAGCAACGTCGACAAGAAAGCATTACTTTAGCAATTTGATTTTCTTAAAATATAAATTTTATTTCCCATATGCTTATGTACGTAACAAAAACAAGAAAAATTTTCCACACAGATAGCATGCTACAGATAAACTAAACAAAGAAATTCAACACACGCAACTACAAGTGCTTCCACTCTACTTTACACTTCTCCAAACAAAGCATGACTACGCACTTTGATTAAATGCATCGCTTGCTTGTATCGCATAGCAAAAGACGACACAGCATCACAAGATATGCAGATTGACATACTTACACATACTCAAATTGAGATGTTATACGTACACTCAGTGAAATTTAGTTAAATACAACAACTGGTTATTGATGAATAATTTTTTAATTTTTTTTTTTTCTTTTTTTTTTTTAAATAAATTAAAGATATATAAACTTGACTCTGAAAAATAAAAGGATTTATTATTAAATGAAACGTACTTTCTAAAAACTGAAAAAATGAAGAAAACAAATTAAAAAAAACACATTTGCATTAGACTGCATTTGAGATGTGAAAATCGGGACTTCTTAATTGGAGGCGTGCCTATAAAAACAATTCTTAATACGCCTGTGATTATTTCTTAATCCAATTTTTAATCGATTTCTACGATTTGAGCATCTTTTCTGCACATTATCTTTCCTAGCCAATGACCTGCACGTGCCTGCACATAATAGACGTTCTGTCCTAAATGACTGGGCAAATCGTGACAATACTCCCATGAATATTGTCAGTAATTGCGCATAAAATTCAAAACAGTATCAGTCGTAAGTGACACATAGTCGCAATTTTCGCGAATTGTTCTTTTTCTTTTCAATTGCGAGCGACTCGTCTTTAAACCTAATCTTTATTAACTAAATGTAAATATATCGAAGTTTGGCAGCCTACGCAAACTCCAATAGCATAAAAGATATTAACGGCGTTATGTATTAAATCAACTACGAGAACTTCATGCTTAAGCATCCACATACTAGTTACTGATATATATATATATGCATATATATATATATATGCATATTGGATAATTCCAATGGGAAAGATCCCACATATAACCAAACAATATTAAGTTATAATTACATTTAAGTGCATAAAGTACACGTTCATCTTGATCATGGAAAGTAAGATACGCTTTTTGAATTTCGATAAGACAAAAGCGTAACGCCAACTTGAAAACAGGGGACTAGTCTGTAAAAAAATAGAAAAAAATTTGGCAGAATAGACTTTATTCCCGATACTATTTGGTGAACGTTTCGGATCTTTAAAATGATATTCGCGTCAGTCAAGCCCGCTATTAATAATGTCGACTAACTCGCAGAGCTTCAATCGACTCTGATCAACACTTTGCAATTACATAACCTCAACATTTAGCAATCATCAACTCTTGCCACATGTTTGCGGAACATTGTAATGACAAAACAGAGCTTAACTAGATATGTCATTAATTTATATATATACATATATACAATTTTCTCTGCCAAATTTAAATTCAAATTTCAATACGAGTTAAGACCTCTTCGAGTACTTGTTACTATCGGAGATTGGCAAAGTTAAATTATTTAGTACTATATCCTGAATAGAAAAATTGATGCACTTGAAGAATATTTCGTTAATGTGTGCAAGAAATGTGGTTTCAAGAGCAGCATATATTATATGTTTAGTTAAATGTCTTTAAAGACATTTGGCTAAGTGTATGTGAATTTACTGCGTCATGTGTAGATGAAAGTTTTTTTTTTTTTTTTTTTTTTTTTTTTTATTTTTATTTTAAATTTTTTTTTTTTTTTTTTTTTTTTTTTTTAAATATTCTCATTATACTGTGTAAGTATTGTTTTATTATCGGCGTAGACAGACGGCTGAAACAACAAAAATTTTGTATTATAATGTTTTCACGTGAACAGCGAGACTATACGCTTCCAACGTAAGTGACGACGAGGTAAGAGTTAGTAAAATCCACAGTTCATCGAAACCTAATACAAAATACTTATTAGCGGACTGCTTCCTTCAACGTTCAATACGTTCCCGACTGTCGATAACTCATGGCTTACATTAAGTTTAATTACTCCAAACCATTTTTCCGCGTCTAATCTTCGATGGGAACTAAGTCATAGTTGCCAACAGATATCGTATGTGTATTAAATCTAAAGCAAAAATGTTAGTACAAAATTTTCATTTGTTGTCGCATATTGTGTGTAAGTATCCGAATATTCCAGCCCTTGAAAGCATGGAGAGTGTACGAATATACGTTTATATGCATCGAAGATCTCACAACATAGCATCATAAATTACTTTATGCGAAAACGAGGCGAAAAGCTCAGATAGAGCTTAGATATGGCCGTTGTATATCTATACATATATATATATTTAGCTAATCGGGATAGATTAATTTTGAAAATGAGTGCGAACGCACCGAAAACTGACTGGGGATGAGATGTTAATATGAAGTCCGTCTTCTTCCCCGTATATATCTCAGTCATCAAGCTGCCACTAAAAACTAAACATACAAATGATGCCTGATTGGCTCAAATATTATTTTACGTACGCAAGATGCATAAAATATTACGTAATTTTCGGATATTGGTTTGAGATGATTGACATATGAAAAATTCGCCTCAAGACGAATATAAGTTTTCGTTTATTTTGATTTGCAAGTGATTTCTCGCACTACACATACACAAACGTTAATAGCTAATGAATAACGTATACTACACATCCGCCCGTAATAATAACACAAATTACAAATTTGTTATGCAAACGATTTTTTTTTTTTTTTTTTTTTTTTTTGAATTTTAGAATTTATAGAAATTATAAAATGATTTAATGGCGAAAATTGAAAAAGAAGTATTTAAGAGAGTAAATTATCGTTAAATAGACTTTGCCTTTTATCTACAGAGGTTAAGGATATATTGAATATGCGATGTGTATCTTTCGTAGGCTTTGAAATCATTTAACAAATTTAATATACCCTCCGGTTCATCGTACGTAATAAGCAAATATGCTTATGTGCGACTATTTACATGCTTGTGTTTAATTTAAATTCGTTTAATGCAATCACTTTGAGAATGATGTACTTCTCACGTTCATTTACTCATCATCATATATATGCCTGCGTATTGTGTACTCCGAGCATTTTATGTTATCTCATAAAATAGTATGCATGCTAAATGGATTCCGTAACAGTGGGATCGATCTAGTGTTCGCTTTACCGCATTTATAGCTAAGTACTTTGTATGTTTGTTGTGACCGGCCGTAAATGGCCTTCATTTACACGACTAATTCTGCAATTTAATGTTTTTTTTTTTTTTTTTTTTTTTTTTTTTTTTTTTTTTTTTTTTTTAAAATAAAATTTTAATTCTTTCTAACTTCTTTTTGCCGTTCGTTTTGCCTTTTTTTCGTTAAACAAAAATTTGTTAAGCCTAGTGGGGGCATAATTTCTAAGATCTCTTCTATTTTCAATAAAAAAAAAAAAAATGTGAAAAATGCCTGCACCAATTAAATACGTTTCCCATTAGAAAGTTTGCATCTACCAATGATGGATACGTGCAAGATTTTTTTTTTTCATACCGATAGATATTTTGGAAGTTTGCGACACATTTATTAGTTGATTCATTTAATGCATTTTTCCAACGTATTCATTTCTCGTGTCTTTTCGTTTATAAATTGTAGATGAAAGTTACGAGGTAAACACACGTTCAGTAAACATATGAACATATATTTAGAGCATTATGTAAAATAAAATTCATGTGCAGTGGCAACGTGCGGCAAGAGATACCTGCAAAATTATATTTGAACTCTCTTGATAAAACGCCACTACCAGCTTAGAAACGCGTAGGAGTAGATGTTTGCATGTTTGTTGTTGCTTTCGTCAGAGTGCCACAACATTATTATTAGTTAACAGCAGCCTACAAACTCTATCACAGATTCATATGAGTAACTATGTTACACTATATATACATATATACACTATATATACATATATACACTATATATTCATATATATATATATATATATATATATATATATATAATATAGTTGATTTTGATGATGGGATTGTGAAATGAATATTTTTTCATTCGTTTTTCTGCTACATGCTTATCCTGCGTAATGCCGTTGTTTTCGAACATCATACTAAATAAGCACAAGCATACATGTATGCGTATTTTCTACTTTTTACATCTAAGCACATATCACACTTATAAGTGCGTATGCAAAGAAGACAATCATCAGAGTGCTTTATAGTCAGACGCAGCACATATATACCTATATATAGATAATTATGTGCTGGAAAGCAGGTAAGTAATGTTATATTATGAATATCTATCATCATTTATTCATTGGTTTTATTCATAGTTTTATTTAATAATCACGTTCACAACATCAGTTGTAGCGATTTCCTCTTCCGCTTTGAATTGACCAAAGACAAAGTCGTTACAGCGTTATAGGCCGTTCGTTGCCATTTCAAAAGCAAAGCTCTTCTTCTTTCTTTTTTTTCATATGTTTTCTTTAGTCATTATTGTACCTTACACTTGTGCTAAAAATTTTTTAATTTAATTTTTTTTTTTTGTTTTTTTTTTTTTGTTTTTAAGCCCTAAAAGATTCCAAAATGGTTAAGATATTTTTTTTTCATCCGTTCGTTTGTTTATTTGTCATGATTGTAAAATATTATCGATCAACTATATGGACATCTTGGTCTAAACCAACTCAAGTTTGAAATCTCTTCCTTCCGTCCATCTAAAATAGTTGACTAAAAAATTGATTAAAAGAATCAACAAAAAAAAAAACTGAAATTTCAATATGCTCTCCGATGGATATTAATATGGAATCGTTACAGTACAATATAATAGGTGCGCTTGTACTTATAATATTCGTAAAAAAATTCAAACAAATATC